AAGTTTGTGGTTACAGGAAAGTGGGTGCGGGAGGGAAGAGGAGCAATTGGTGGAATGATGATGTAAAGAGAGTAGTAAGGGAGAAAAAGTTAGCATATGAGAAGTTTTTACAAAGTAGAAGTGATGCAAGGAGGGAAGAGTATGTATATGGAGAAAAAGAGAGGTTAAGAGAGTGGTGAAGCAATGTAAAAAGAGAGCAAATGAGAGAGTGGGTGAGATGTTATCAACAAATTTTGTTGAAAATAAGAAAAAGTTTTTGGAGTGACATTAACAAGTTAAGGAAGCCTAGAGAACAAATGGATTTGTCAGTTAAAAATAGGAGAGGAGAGTTATTAAACGGAGAGTTAAAAATATTGGGAAGATGGAGGGAATATCTTGAATTGTTAAATGTTGATGAAGATAGGGAAGCTGTGATTTCGTGTATAGGGCAAGGAGGAATAACATCTTGTAGGAGTGAGGAAGAGCCAGTTGTGAGTGGGGGAAGTTCGTGAGGCAGTAGGTAAAATGAAAGGGGGTAAGGCAGCCGGGATTGATGGGATAAAGATAGAAATGTTAAAAGCAGTGAGGGATGTAGTTTTGGAGTGGTTGGTGCAATTATTTAATAAATGTATGGAAGAGGGTAAGGTACCTAGGGATTGGCAGAGAGCATGCGTAGTTCCTTTATATAAAGGTAAAGGGGACAAAAGAGTGCAAAAATTATAGGGGGATAAGTCTGTTGAGTATACCTGGTAAAGTGTATGGTAGAGTTATTGTGTACGAATGGTATATAATACCGACAAGATGAGAGTAAGACACATGTGCAACATCTGGGTATCTTTATTGTAGACGTTTCGCCATCCAGTGGCTTTATCAATACAAATTCCAGGACATAACTTGAAGACAGTAGAACTATGTACAGGGACTGATTACCTCATCTTCTGTACATAGTTCTACTGTCTTCAAGTTATGTCCTGGAATTTGTATTGATAAAGCCACTGGATGGCGAAACGTCTACAATAAAGATACCCAGATGTTGCACATGTGTCTTACTCTCATGGTAGAGTTATTATTGAAAGAATTAAGATTAAGACGGAGAATAGGATAGCAGATGAACAAGGCTTTAGGAAAGGTAAGGGGTGTGTGGACCAGGTGTTTACAGTGAAACATGTAAGTGAACAGTATTTAGATAAGGCTAAAGAGGTTTTTGTGGCATTTATGGATTTGGAAAAGGCGTATGACAGGGTGGATAGGGAGGCAATGTGGCAGATTTGCAGGGGTATGGTGTAGGAGGTAGGTTACTGAAAACAGTGAAGTTTTTTTATGAGGATAGTGAGGCTCAAGTTAGAGTATGTAGGAAAAGAGGGAGATTATTTCCCCGTAAAAGTAGGCCTAAGACAAAGGGTGTGTGATGTCACCGTGGTTGTTTAATATATTTATAGATGGGATTGTAAGAGAAGTAAATGCGAGGGTCTTGGCAAGAGGTGTGGAGTTAAAAAAATTTAAAAAATCACACAAAGTGGGAGTTGTCACAGTTGCTCTTTGCTGATGACACTGTGCTCTTGGAGATTCTGAAGAGAAGTTGCAGAGGTTGGTGGATGAATTTGGTAGGGTATGCAAAAGAAGAAAATTAAAAGTGAATACAGGAAAGAGTAAGGGTTTATGAGGATAAAAAATTAGTGATGAAAGATTGGATATCAGATTGGAGGGAGAGTATGGAGGGGGTAAATGTATTCAGATATTTGGGAGTGGGACGTGTCAGCGGAGGGGTCTATGAAGATGAGGTGAATCATTGAATTGATGAGGGAAAAGGGTGAGCGGTGCAATTAGGAGTGTGAGACAACGAACTTTGTCCTTGGAGGCAAAGAGGGGGAATGTATGAGAGTATAGTTTTAACAACGTTCTTATAGGGTGTGAAGCATGGGTGATAAATTTGTTGCAGCGAGGAGAAGGCTGGAGCAGTGGAGATTCATGTCTGAGGGCAATGGTGGTGAATAAAAATGCAGAAATTCGTAGTTTGGAAGTTAGGAGGAGGTGTGGGATTACCAAAACTGTTGTCCAGAGGGCTGAGGAAGGGTTGTTGAGGTGGTTTGGACATGTAGAGATAATGGAGCGAAACAATGACTTCAAGAGTGTATCAGTCTGTAGTGGAAGGAAGGCGGGGTAGGGGTCAGCCTAGGAAGGGTTGGAGGGAGGAGGTAAAGGAGGTTTTGTGTGCGAGGGGCTTGGACTTCCAGCGGGCATGAGTGAGTGTGTTTGATAGGAGTGAATGGAGACAAATGGTTTTTAATACTTGATGTGCTGTTGGAGTGTGAGCAAAGCAACATTTATGAAGGGATTCAGGGAAACCGGCAGGCCAGACTTGAGTCCTGGAGATGGGAAGTACAGTGCCTGCACTCTGAAAGAGGGGTGTTAATGTTGCAGTTTTAACTGTAGTGTAAAGCACCCTTCTGGCAAGACAGTGATGGAGTGAATGATGGTGAAAGTTTTTTTCTTTTTCGGGCCACCCTGCCTTGGTGGGAATCGGCCTATGTGTTAATAAATAATAATAAAATGAGCACTAAATAAAATAAATGAACGTTTAAATCACTATTACATACCTTTATTGAAGACTCTTGTTGGCTTATGGCAAGAGGGAGGACTGATTATTGTTTGGAAGGCAAATCCCCCTCCTTAAGGACTTGAGGTATCAAAGCCCTCTCTGGGGTTACTTACTGAATCAGACTTATTAACCATTAAACTGTCCAAGAAGATCTACGTTCACATGCATAGTGGTCGAAAAGTAGATCTATGTTTTTTTACATATTTTCAAATACAGTATAACAAAAAAACACTTATCAAAGTTTTTTTTACACTTTTTCAAGTTTAAAAAAAGAAAAGATTACTTTTTTTTACGTACTTTCAAATGTTGAAAAAACGTAGATCTACGTTTGGACAGTTTAAGGGTTAAAAGCCTGTATAACAGACCGGTGGTTACAGGGAGGTATTACCCATCCTCTGGAATATCTTTTAAAAATTGAATATTCCCACCTTCCTACTATTTGGTTTATTACCCAATCAGAACCCCTACAATATTTTATAACCAAAAGCACCAACATACTACTACGTATATACAAAAAATGTGAAAATTACTAATTTATGCAAACTGTTTTTAAGCGATATTATGCAAAACAGCATTTGAACTTACCAACAGCATATTATGCAAACTCTCCAGTACTTGAATTGTACAATGGACAATTATGTTTTGAGCAAATATAGTTATAAAAAAAGAAAAAAAAACACTAGCATGGCAATTTAACCTAAACAAAGAATTAAATTATTAGTGATAAGCTAACAAAAGGACCCCAATAGAAATAAGTCACTGACTTAAATAAGTGACTATTTTGGGTTATCCTAAGTTCACTACACATGTGCTGCTATGTTAGATAATCTATGTAAGTGTATTGTGTATACCTGAATAAACTTACTGCTATATATCAGAAAAAGTGAATGTGTACAAATGCTCCTCACTTTACAGTGGTTTGACTTACAGTATATTTCGACTATGATGCCGGAAGTCAAGGCTTTCAAAAATTGTGTTATGCTGCCTCTGGGTGGAAATGTTGCAGGTTTTAAACTACAGCCTTTCCTAATCTACCACTCGAAGAATTCCAGAGCATTCAAGAATGTGAGCAAGCATACACTTTCCATCTATTACTGCTATAACAAGAGAGCCTGGATGACATTAGCACTGTTTGACAATTGGTTCTTGAAGTGTTTTATTCCCCAGGTGAGAGTATATTGTCAAAATAACGTACCATTCAATACTGGTATTTAGTTACAATAATTATTTGTTTATTTACTTACTCAGTGACAATATTTATTTATAATATCGTGCAATATTTTCAATTTACAGTGGTTTCATCGGAACCTAACCCCAATGTAAGTAGAGAAACACCTACTTCATTTCCTGGTCCCATTTCAGTATTATTTTTTAAGCTATATGATACCAAATTGATGTGCTTGTGTATTTGAGATGGTTTTCATTTGTGCAAATATAAGAAATAATAATGTAACGTAACAATCTAACATAACCCAACCTAACATACAATAAATAAAGATACCTTTATTGTCGAAGGTGGAAGCGTATGATATTTCATTGACCGGTAATAATAAACTGACCTATTAAGAGTTTAAAACTATACTCTGGCATGTAGACTCACCCCTGTGACACAAAGGAACATTATAGTCAATTCATCTAACTAAATATCTTAATTTATATTTTGATTTTGTAGACAAAATAAAATTTTACAAAAAATAATCCCCCCCAATTTTTTTTTTTTATTAACACATGGGACGTGTCCCACAAGGCAAGGTGGTGGCCCGAAAAAGAAAAACTTTCACCATCATTCACTCCTTCACTGTCTTGCCAGAGGCACACTTGTACTACAGTTATAAAACTTCAACATTAACGCCCTTTATATGTGACAGAAGTAGTTAACTGTGTAGGTGAAACATTCATTAATAAAGATACACAACTGTTGCACATGTGTATCTTAATTTGTCAGTATTTTATATAATTTTCAACAAGCCTCGACTCGCTTAAGATGAAGTAGACTTGACTGATCTACTATAACAAGCTGAGTGAGACTGATGAGTTAACACAACACTGCAAAATATATTCTGGTACTTTATTAAGTTATTATGAAGTAAAGAAGCCAAAGAGAGATAATCTTCAACAGTAAGTTACTGACGTACTGTTAATCACTAACATACCTGACAGTGATATATTTAGTGTACCTACAAGTTCAGATGTCTTACTTCAAGCCATGACACTGTAATAATGTTCTTACATATATAAAGCCAGGGTTCCATCCCCAACACAGAACAAACCAACATCAACAAATTTACTCTCAACATGCACAATTCCACCATCATTGTCATATACACTGATCCTGGTGTCTACTTCCTCCAGTACTCACCTCATTACTTCACTCAAGACTCACCGATAACACCATAGCAAGTATATTTATCCAAATACAGACCTGATAGTGGTTGGAGGTGTATGGAGAAGGTTGTGTGAGCGTCGGTGCGGTGTGGTAGCGTCTGCGCCTCTGTCATATGATGTCAGCTGATCAATGCCAGGTGCGCCGTGCTGGGATCGAACCTTCACTCACACTCTCGATCCCATCATGGCGCACAACACACCATCACCCGCTAACTTTGAATTAAGCTCGACCTTATAACTATAATATAATAATATCTTTATTCCTACAAGTACATGTACAAGGTATACAGGCCTAGCTGACATCAATGACATGCTACTATATAGAAAGCCCCTTGTTATTCTGAGCATTTCCCGCAAATTAGGTCAGTTTTTTTCCAGGATGCGACCCACACCAGTCCACTAACACCTAGGTACCATTATTACTGATGGGTGAACATGGACAATCGGTGTAAGGAAACACGCCGGGAATCAAACCCAGACTCTCACCGTGTGAAGCGAGAGCTTTTGCCACCAGGCCACAGGCCACTGTCTCCAGGCCAAGGGCCACAATACCAGGCCACAGGCCACTGTACCAGGCCACAGGCCACCGTACCAGGCCATAGGCCACCATACCAGGCCACGGGCCACCGTACCAGGCCACCGTACCAGGCCACGGGTCACCGTACCAGGCCATAGGCCACCGTACCAGGCCATAGGCCACTGTACCAGGCCACCGTACCAGGCCACGGGTCACCGTACCAGGCCATAGGCCTGGGTCCTACACAGATGACAGCAAGGAAATGAGTGAGCTACTCAAGTCCCAATATGACTCAGTTTTTAGCAAGCCGCTAACCAGACTGAGAGTCGAAGATCAAAATGAATTTTTTATGAGAGAGCCACAAAATTTGATTAACACAAGCCTATCCGATGTTATCCTGACGCCAAATGACTTCGAACAGGCGATAAATGACATGCCCATGCACTCTGCCCCAGGGCCAGACTCATGGAACTCTGTGTTCATCAAGAACTGCAAGAAGCCCCTATCACGAGCCTTTTCCATCCTATGGAGAGGGAGCATGGACACGGGGGTCGTCCCACAGTTACTAAAAACAACAGACATAGCCCCACTCCACAAAGGGGGCAGTAAAGCAACAGCAAAGAACTACAGACCAATAGCACTGTTACAAAAAACGCGATTCTAAAAGCTTAGAGATCTCCAGTGAATACTAGAAAGGACTGCCCTTCTAGCATCCAGCCTGTTACTGGGTTTTCGTAACAAGTAGTCAGTATCCTTGTCCAATTATCCATTAAAATTCTGTATTATTCAATAGTGCTTTAGGATTACAACTGGTAGGCTACTAACTAGAGAAATTAAAATTTAATAAATTTATTAAGTCTATAAGTTGTCTAGAGGTATATTATCAAATTAAATTAATTACAACAATCAAAATAAAATCAATCTCTCGAGTTCAATATTATTGTGCTGAAAGCACATATCACATTTATAATTCTTAAGTACCGTCAGGTACATTAACATTTAATAAGATATTACAAATATGTACAAGTGTGTGTATGCGTGTAAGTGCTCTTAAGTAGTTAGCTATGTCTCAAGACTCGAATAAGACTTAAACAAGTGACTGACAAAGTCCTCAAATAAACTAACTTCTTGACCGACTGGCAACCCGAACAGTCTGCTTGAACAACAAAGAATGCTAAGCCCAATAGCAATGCAATATCAAGCGACTGCGACACAGAATCAGGAACTGGGAAATAATATAACGACACTAAGTAGGGACCATCTGCAGATCCTCCACAAAAGTTACAAAACTCCCATAATACTGAATCTTTGTTCAGCATAGGTAAACTGTGACTGTGACAATACACAGGAACCAGTACAAAATTAGGTCAGAAGCTATAGCTAAGGACCTGAGATGTTCAGAGTGTCTAAGTGACACACAACCTCAGTACAACGTCGAAAATCACAAAGTCTATACAATGTTCTGTGAACAAAGTTCTACAGAACTAACAAGAATAATGAGACAGACAATCTGTCCAACCAGCAAGCGAGTCCCGAGCAGACTGTCAGACAGACAATCTGTCCAACCAGCAAGCGAGTCTCCAGCAGACTGACAATTTCACGAGAGGTGAGGACACCCCCCCCCTCGATCACGTGATAGCTACGTGGACAACAGCAGCTCAGAAGCCGGCAGTATAACGAGCGACAAGCGATAATTACAGTAGTTTGACAATCAAGCCTAACTGAGCACATTTTATATACATCCTAACAACATAAGCTAAATAACAATATAACAGTCAAATAATAATATAAAGTCATACATTTACGATCTAGCTATTATCGCAAATATAAGCAATATAAAATTATATGAAAAGATAATATACATTACATATATACATAATAATCATTGTAACCCATTCAGGGGTTGCAACAAGCACTAACATCCCATATCATAAAAATCTTTGAAAGGGTCCTAAGAAGCAAGATCACCACCCATCTAGAAACCCATCAGTTACACAACCCAGGGCAACATGGGTTTAGAACAGGTTGCTCCTGTCTGTCTCAACTATTGGATCACTACGACAAGGTCCTAAATGCACTAGAAGACAAAAAGAATGCAGATGTAATATATACAGACTTTGCAAAAGCCTTCGACAAGTGTGACCATGGCGTAATAGCGCACAAAATGCGTGCTAAAGGAATAACAGGAAAAGTCGGCCCGATGGATCTATAATTTCCTCACTAACAGAACACAGAGAGTAGTCGTCAACAGAGTAAAGTCCGAGGCAGCTACGATGAAAAGCTCTGTTCCACAAGGGCACAGTACTCGCTCCCATCTTGTTCCTCATCCTCATATCCGACATAGACAAGGATGTCAGCCACAGCACCGTGCCCTTCCTTTGCAGATGACACCCGAATCTGCATGAACAGTGTCTTCCATTGCAGACACTGCAAAGTTTCCAGGCGGACATCAAACCAAATCTTTCAGTGGGCTGCAGAAAACAATATGAAGTTCAACGATGAGAAATTTCAATTACTCAGATATGGTAAACAGAGGAAATTAAAATTTTCATCAGAGTACAAAACAAATTCTGGCCACAAAATAGAGCGAAACACCAACGTCAAAGACCTGGGAGTGATCATGTCGGGGATCTCACCTTCAAGGACCATAACATTGTATCAATCGAAATCTGCTAGAAAAATGACAGGATGGATAGAGAACCTTCAAAACTAGGGAGGCCAAGCCCATGATGACACTCTTCAGGTCACTTGTTCTATCTAGGCGGAATATTGCTGCACACTAACAGCACCTTTCAGGCAGGTGAAATTGCCGACCTAGAAAATGTACAGAAAAATTTTCACGGCGCGCATAACGGGGAAAAAAACACCTCAATTATTGGAGCGCTTGAGGTTCCTAAACCTGTATTCCCTGGAACGCAGGAGGGAGAGATACATGATTATATACACCTGGAAAATCCTAGAGGGACTAGTACCGAACTTGCACACACGAAAATCACTCACTACGAAAGCAAAAGACTTGGGAGACGATTTCACCATCCCCCCAATGAAAAGCAGGGGTGTCACTAGCACGTTAAGAGACCCTACAATAAGTGTCATGGGCCCGAGACTGTTCAAAACTGCCTCCCAGCATACATAAGGGGGATTACCAACAGACCCCTGACAGTCTTCAAGCTGGCACTGGACAAGCACCTAAAGTCAGTTCCGGATCAGCCGGGCTGTGGCTCGTACGTTGGTTTGCGTGCAGCCAGCAGCAACAGCCTGGTTGATCAGGCTCTGATCCACCAGGAGGCCTGGTCACAGACCGAGCTGCGGGGGCGTTGACCCCCGGAACTCTCTCCAGGTAAACTCCAGGTAAACCGTACCAGGCCACCGTACGAGGTCACGGGTCACCGTACCAGGCCACAGGCCACCGTACCAGGCCACGGGCCACCGTACCAGGCCATGGGTCATCGTAATAGTCAAAATTTGATTTCTTTCCGTAGTATACAATGTAAAAATATTTTAAGCAAAAAAAAATGATTTAGCAGAATGAGCTTTTCAGGCAAAGGAATATAAGAAAAGCATAAAGAAAAAGGACACGCAGGGGCCTACTTGTCGATCAAATCTCAAACCCCACTATTGCAGATGCCTACATACTCTTCTCTCCCCGACCCAGTCATGCTAGCCAATACTGAAAAATACCAAATAAAGAAAAATATTTCCTGGGTGTGATTAACAAAATTTTTTTCAAATATTTACAAAACCTACACATTCAGGAAGCTAAACTAGTTATTAAAGAAGACGGCTAAAACGGAGAAAATGCATTGAAGCTGCACTAATTTTTGTCATAACACTATAAAGCAAAAATCCCGGGAGTTACGTATTTCAAAAATTTCTAAGCAAGAGGATATTACCCATCCCCGGGAACTGGTGTTACTTGATGCCCAGCAGGTCCCCCTCTCCTCCCTCCTTAGTTCCCTTACTACTACTACAAATACTACTACACTTACTACTACACAACTACTCTACTCTTACTATACACTACTATACCCCCCTACCCAGCGTCACCTCACCCGACCCTGCCCCTATATAATAAAAGTTTTTTTTTAGTTTTCTCTGTATTTGGACTGAAGAAACCCCTCGTGGCGAAACGTTTCCTTTAATAAATGTCCTGAACTGTACATAAGTGTCTTTTTCCACTACTACATTCAGTTTGGAAACAGAACTACAGATGTTCCATTTAACATAATGATAAACGGATCACCTATCACGAAACTCACAGAGGGAAAATTCTTAGGAATCCGCCTTGATAATAGACTCAAATTTCAAACACATGTACAACAAATTTCCAGGAAAATTTCCAAGACCGTAGACATACTATCGAAGATACGGTACTATGTTCCACAGTCAGCCCTCCTGGCCCTATATCACTCACTTATTTACCCCTATCTCACCTATGGAATTTGTGCATGGGGCTCAACAACAATTAACCATCTCAGACCACTAATTACCCAACAAAAGGCTGCAGTCAGAATGATAACAAATTCCCACTACAGGCAGCACACTCCACCAATATTCAAAACTCTAAACTTAGTCACAGTACAAAGCATCCATACTTATTATTGTGCCTAGTACATACATAGAACAATTAACTCGGATATAAACCCTCCCCTCAAACTTCTCCTTACCAACCTCAACAGA